GGTGAATGCCTGAGCGTTAGGGCTGACGTTACCCAAACTGAACGAACCGATCAGGATAGCCATCAACACAGTCAGGACCTGGCCAACATTGACCTCACCGTCTGTGAGGAAGCGGGAACCCATCCAGAAGCCAAGGCCATAGTTGGAGAACATAATACCGAACATGCCACCAATCATGAAACCAAGGGTTACTTGGGTCTTAATGCCCCACTTCTCAGCCTCGGCCAAGTGAGTTTCATATTGCTTTGCGAGCTTGTCCTGAGTTCCGAAAGCAGTTGCATTGCGGATGGAGCTGATAACTTCCTCCGCTACAGTACCACCGGCACCGGCGCTCTGCAGAGCCTGCTTGCTGTTCTTGACAATGAACCGAGATCCACCTCCCATAAGCAGAACCAACGCCACAATGGTCGAAGTGCAAATCAGGGCCAGCTTCCAATATTTGATATAAGCGACAATAAAGGCAGTGACAAACGTGGCGATGGCGGTCAATGTCAGTCCAACCTTTTCCGAGACACCGTCTTGGATGAGGTTCGTGTCGGCCGTAATGCGCGTAGTCACTTCACCGGCACCCAGCTTATCGAAGTAACCCATGTTTTGTCTCAAGATCGACTCAAGGTAGTGTTCGCGAATCTTTTGGGTGACATGTTCACCAGTGTAGATGAAGCCGACAGTGGAGATGTATACGGTGACGAACTCTGCAATGCCGAGATAAACAAAATAGAGAACATTTTTCGTTAACTGGTGGTAGAAGTCGTGGTACGAGATTTCATACAAGGCTATGCCTCGGAAAGCTGAGGCCAGGGAACCGAAGAGGATCTAGGTCGAAGTTAGTCCATAAGCCCAATTGCTAATCACTGGCGTCATAGATAGGCACTCACTGTAAAAAGAGGCAGCGCAGCGCCTGCGACAATGGCACAAATTGCGCTCACGAACATAATCGCAAGATCCATTCGGGAAGCATAGCGAAACAGACCAAAGAAGGAGACATTCACATCATCCGCGTCCAACTGCATCTTCAAGATCTGTTTCTCGTGCTCGGGAAGATGCGCATACAGCGCATCCGAATCATCTGCTCGGGCTAGCTGGTTGCCAGTAGATGGCTGAGACGCTGGGCCTTTTTCTCCTGCAGGAACCATTGTCGTACTGGTGATTGACGACTGGCCGCTTGACTTGCGCTGCTCTGCTGAGGACGGTCTTGCTCCGTCCATGGCTGTCAATTCAACGTCGTTCGGGGATGTCTCCGCCGAGACGTGCTCATTCTCTGGGTGAGACATTCCGTTCGAGGTGTCGAAACGAAAGCCCCACTCTCTGGTATATATGGAGGAGGGTGAAAGACGATGACAAGAGATCGCTCTACTCCATGAGGTGGGACAGCTGATGGGGAAAGTTGAAGTTGCTTGAAGCAGGAGCTGGCCGATTCCCCCCAAAATAACAGACGCGAGGGAGAGGAAGTACGCGCAGGGAAGGGAGCAGGGAGGGGGAGGGGTGTTAGAAGAGAGATAGGATGGCTGGTGCCCTGTTGTGAGATATTCCTCCACACGCGTGGCAGATAGGGATGGAATGATCAACTACAACTTTGTGGTGGAGGGCAAGTCAGACTGGATTGAAAGGGACCCAGGGCAAGATGGGAATTAAAAATGTGGGAAAAAAGGGGAGGAGGCTCTAATATTAATCATAATTAAAGAAGAATAGGCATCAGACTTGATTCTGGAACCCAAGCTGGCCTTTCAACTTAACTAGAGACAAAAAAGGTATCTGCGTCAGCGACAAGTCCCCATCTTTGCCTTCCAATCTTCTTTTGCTTGATTGAATGGTGGATTACTTTTTTAGTGGCCGTCGCGTTTAGTTCCATTTGCTCGGTCGGAGCCCCGACTTCCCGAGGGCCATTTTATGCATCTTCCCCACTAGTCACCGGACCTCCACCTGCTGATATTCCCGACATTTTATGCGGATGCTTGTCCAGATGCGGTAGACGGTGGTATTTACTATTTACAGTATCTATTGACCTATTCAATAATATCTCCTTCTGGTAACTAGATGATAGTAAGTCGTTGTTTGGTTGTCGCGATTCACGAAAGACTGCTGCAATACTCAACAATAATCTCACAAAGTCTCTGCAGAAGGAAGCTTATCAGACGTCTAATGGGTACAATTTGCAGTACTCTGTTACACTGCAGGTCAATAATAACAAACGATAAGTCCACCCATTCATACTATCTCGTACATAAACTACGAAGATCTTACCTACGATCAGCACTCTATGAACCGGCCCTCGCTCGAATTCTCAAGAACACCAACAATAATCGTTACCTCATTGCATGGGCTACCGATTCTCCCAGGATAGCAAGTACCTTCGTAAACCGGGAGTTATAATAATTGATTCAGTTATTTAGGTGCGAAACTTATGAGTCACAACAGTCACACTCCAAAATTGAACCTTCAATGGATGATGGTGATGATGCTTCGGATCTGGTTCTAGAACCACAGCGCGTAACCTCCTCAATCTTCCCTGCTAAAGGAAGAGACAAGAGCCCTACCAATCGTATTACGAATACGACGCCAGCTGTGTATGGCTGAAGGGCTCCCGTCTAGTCTACTTACTACTAGTAGTAGTAATTGGCGGGGGTCCGACACAACTCCGCCTGGACGCAAAAAAAATCGAACTGGGAGTACGGAGAAGACTAGCCTTAATTTTACCGAAGACCCGCATGGGCTTTTCTGGGTACCGAAGTGAAGGCAAAGTAGTCTACTCCGTCCCTTGTATGGCTATCCATACTTGCTAGGGCACGAGTTAGATACATTCATGATGGTAGGCTGGTAGCATTGTAGGTAGCAACATTGAGTTACAACTACGCAGGCTGGGGCTACCATTCATGCTTCGACAGTTAAGCTAGTGGAATCTGAGACTTGAGAGGCCCCAATTTTTTGAACTTTACTCCATCCACATTGAAAATGGATGGACACTTGAAATAAGGAATTCAGGGGCGGGTACCTTTTCCTGGTGCATTCCAACACTCCAATGAATATGTGATCTACATCAAAACATGCCGCACCAGATGCCTTTGTTTACTTTCGCCAACAGCAGGCATCGACTAGATACGTATTCTTCATCATCCTGCGATGTTGTCCATTTGAGTGATGTTTCAGGTTCCACCGAACAAAGGGCCATGTGGGCAAAGGATTGCGAGTTTGGGTATATGTCATTGAAATGGCAGCCTAATTAGCAGTATTCGTTTGGCTCGTGTGTGCCTGAGACAAAGGTTGTTGAAAGGATCTTTGTTGTGTTCTGCACAGAAGTCGGCAAGTCGGGGTCTCCGAGCACCGCCGCCCGCTAGATACTTCTTACCGATCGCAGTCGATGCCAGATTAGGCATATCGATACCACAAACTAACCGGCCCTGATCCTTTGTGCCTGCTTCCATTGGTCCATCTGTAATCCTTGAATAGCCCGTTACCATGGACATATCCACTGCTACATGCTGATAGTATCTTCGCTACCACGTCTACTTTTGACTCATCTCCCACTATGTCTAGCTTCGTGTTCGGCTTACGAGAATTGACCTGTTTAGGTCCCCGACATGATTTTATTGAATCCTGCAGCTGTACTCTGTACGGAGTTATCAGTTGTTTTTTCACCGCTTGTGGTTTATCGTTTGGAATGTTAAATCCACAGTGTAATTTAGAACATCACGTTGGATTCCCAATATCGGTCAAACTAGGTAATATAGCACCTACTTATCTCTGTTTGCTATCTGATCAATAACCTGACAGGCTCGTTCTGGCCCGAATAGAGAAAGTTACTTTGTGGTAACGCCCTGACACCTAGCTACCCCAGCAACTGCTCAGCTGTACATTGAACATTCCGAGCCTTTTGGATCCCTGAAGCGGCTCGGGACTTGCTAACCCCCGCCAAGTTCAAATAAAGGGCCATGTACGCTATAGTGTGCGGTAGATACCGTCTACGCTAGGCCGGAACATGGGCTCTCCGAACGAATCCCATGCATTCGTATATAATGTTGATAAGCTCAATTAATTGACTGGTCGACGGGAGGATGGGCGGCCGATGCCGATGTAAGCAAGCAAACAAGGCGCCTTCATTAATAAGACAACCGTTGTCTATGATGCGTCGAATCGCTCAGGCATAGGCTCCCATCTACAAAGTTTGTGGCTTGATATAACCGGAGAATATCGGTATGACATCCGATCCATCAATGACACTCCCAGTTGTCAAATCTTGTTTTCTACAGTATGGTCCAGGCTCGTGAACTGAGCTCGTGACGCAACTTCCACACCTCATCAATGTAATGGACTCCCATGGTCCCGCGCTGTCATCCAAGCGGCCTGTCTGCAATGCAATAATGTATTATTATCATATGGGTACTCCGTACAGAAGGTGTAGCTGTGCAGAGACGCATCTCCGGTAGCCTGAAGACTATGAACCGCTGGTTTTGTGCTCTTCATGTCTACTTGACTGTCCAATTGGCGGGGGTGTTGCATTGTTACTCGAGCGGCAAACACACGCGCCATTGCCCTCATGAGTATTTGTGATTTCCCAAAGCACGTCTCAACCGGCAACCACCTAATATCATTCTTTGGGATGCCACAAGAATGATCTTTACTGAAGCTTTTAATATGTTGTAGCCACTGGGCGATATAGCACGTGACTTGTAACTTCCCGTTTGGGGTTTCAGTCACTCAGGGACAATACCACGATAAGTATTGCTCAAATACTATAGAGGTTGCGAACTTGCCAGCTCAGCATAGCACATTAGATTTATCATATTTTTGAATCAGAAGCAAAGTACAAACATCTTATCCCCGTTCAAATCGAATTTCCCCGACTGGAACCACCAAGAATCCAAAATGATGGGGTACCTTCCGCCTTAGGCAGAAATCACATGACCTCACGGAAGCGAAACGCTAAGCCCTGCCCGCACAAAAAAACTACCACTACTGAACGGCTTGACAGACGGTCGACAACCTCATCATCGCCAGTCCATACACTCAGCTCGCCGTCGCGACAAGTCTTCAAGATGCCGGTTAGCAGCCCTCCCTGTTATTCGAACGACCGTGAACCACTCCATTTTGTGCTGGAAAATAAAAAAAAATATGAATACGGCTACACGGAATAAGGAAAAGTGGTCGGGATGATGAAGTTGAACAGCAGGCTAACGATCAACTCTCTTCTTTCAATATAGAGCCACAAGAGTTTCCGCACCAAGCAGAAGCTTGCCAAAGCTCAGAGACAGAACCGTCCTATCCCCCAGTGGATTCGTCTCAGGACCGGTAACACCATCAGGTAAATAAGAAACCGTCACCTGTTCCCAATTTGCACGCAACCCATACAACACACCCCGCGAAGTCCTCGATGAGTCCCAGCGAAGAAATACAAAGAGCATGAGAAGGAAAATGGAGTGATTTCAGCGAACGAATAAACAAAGAGAAGGAATATACAAGATGCAGCACCAGATGATTCGCCATCACACACCAAAACCCCCAAATCAACTAGTCGACCGCTGGGAACAACATCAAAGGACACAGCACATCCCACATTCTACATCCTCACACACACAATCCTACCATGAACCAAAAAAAAACACCGAATACTAACATATCTCTTCCCAACCCAGATACAACGCCAAGCGTAGGCACTGGCGCAAGTCCCGTCTCGGAGTCTAAATTCGTCCTTTGGAGGAACCTTCCACACCAACCGACTTTTTCGATTCCGCCCCGAGAAATGTCTCTGTCCACCTGCTGCTACTTTCCCGGGGGAAAATGTTTCGTTCAGTTGCTGTGATACCGCTGCCAACAATGACAACAACAACTCTTGTGTGCCGCTACTGCTCGCGATGATACAAAAAAATAAAAGAAACAAAAAATCCACTTGCATCATTATAGATTATGTTGCCTGAAATCAAAACCCGCTTTTTGAGATGCCCGTTTGATTCTCAAAATCTCTATTGTTTTCCTTTGCTCTTTCTCCCGCTCTAAATACACGACAAGTTAATTAAGCGCGAGGAGAAGGAAGAGTGATAAGCGGGGAGGGAGGGATAATGCTTACTTTTTGCTTTTTTCTTCTCTTTTGATGGAGGGGTTTTTTCAACTGGTCTTGTGGTGGTGCAGTGGTGCTTCTGCAAGATGTGTGTACACGAGCTGAAAGGAACGACAAAAAATCGAAAATTCATGATGGGTTAATGAGCAGTTTTGAACGAAGATCTTTTTCCTATGTCTGTATTTGATATGGTTTGTGTTGTTGTAGTCTTTCCGCGTTGCGTGGATTCGGGGTCTAGATCCTCCCCTTGTAGGCTGTATGTCTATAGACATTACAGTAGTAGTGACCAGTCTTGCCTACTGGATATGAACGACTAGTACAACTATCAGAGCTATTACTAGTGGGAGAAGATAATTACAGTTTCTACTTGCCCTGCATGTGGAACAAGGTTACATTATGGCAACAATATGCGCAATGGCGTTAACAGCATTATTTAACCATGTACTACTTTAGAGCTACATCTATCCCCTGCTCATAACGAACGAATGGCAAGGGCCAAAGGGAAAAGAGAGATTGAGAAAGCAAACCGCTGGCGTTGAGAGAACTGAGTGAAAAAGTAAAAGACTAGTAACTCCATGAACTGCAACCTGAGACCCAACGAGACCCGAATTAAAACATCATGATAGCTCATCTTCCTCGGCTTGCTTGCAATCAACAAGCCGTCGGAGTCAGCATACTGATGTCATGGATTAACGCAGATTTAGCGGCTATGGCGAGTATAATGTTAGCATATGCTCAGATGGTAAAATAGCGGGTGTTGGGTTTCTGTAAAAGACTTACTCCTCGGCCCACTCGTTCTCACGGCGGATCTGATCCTCCTCCTCGGGGGTGAAGTCGTTCTGGATGTTGAAGGTCTTGCGGATCTCTTCCGGAGACTTGCCCTTGATCATGTTTGCGACAGTCTTGCATCCGACATCCAGAAGACCTTTAATGTCGAGGTAGTTTGCGGCCTGTCGGGTTGAGCGCCAAGTTAGCAGGTAGGCTTTCCTAGATACTAGAGAGTAGTTCGTAACACGTACCAGAATGATCTCGAACAACATCTCCTGGTCAACCTGGGTAAACTTCTGATCCCACTCGTCGATGTCGGTGGTCTTGCGGCGGGAGTCATCCTCCTCGCCAGTGCTAGGGGGGTCGTTCTTGTGGTGTCTGCACCATTCGATGACCTTCTTCAGAACAGCTTCGTTGACCTATGTTTCGGTTGTGGTTAGCTATGGCCACCAATGGTTCTTTTACTTTCACAGTCAACTCACATTAGGGATCGGAATCTCCTCGTTGGCGTCACCCAGATCTTCCAGCATGTTCTTGATGAGGAGGGAGCGCTCGGCAACATCACGTTCTGTATTTTCACAAATGTTAGCATATCTGCTTTAATCGTAACACAGACTCCAAGCGCGTCTGCCGAGCTCGAACAACCGCGTGCACTTACCACACTCAATGTGCACGCCGTCGCCACTGATGAAGGTCAACATGGGACCGGAGTAAGGAGCAGGTGTGTCGGCCATTTTTGTTGAGGTGTATTAGGAAGTGTCTAGAAGATTCGAGTTCTTTGGGTGAAGATGTCAGCTCTCAGCACTGGAGTGAGTTGTGTTGTTGTTGTTGTTGGGTCACAAAGGCCAGCGACGACGTTAAAGATATGAGGGGTACCTGGGTGGGGGAAGACGTTTGCTTACTTTGCAAATCTAGCCGTGACAGCGGAATGTGAATGAGTTCGAGTGAGTTAGTTGTGAACAAGGGGAATGGGTGAACAAGCAGAGATATAGAGGAATATAAATATCCCAACCAGCGGTGGGAAAGTGATGTGGATGAGAAAGAGATACAAAGTTTCAAATCTGGGGGTTGAAAGGGAAGGAGGTTGCTTGGGAGAGTTCCGAGACCGATGAAAGCGAAGAGCGATGAATGGCCCGGCGTTGAGGCTGACGAGGGTCCGGCAATCTCCTCCGTCATTCGCTGCTGCTGACTCCACCCGGGCGGTTGTGGCCTGGTGCTGCCTGAATGGATGGTCTTTCTTTCTTCTTTCGATTTCCTTTTCCCTTACTTGCTTTACTTTACTTACTTACTCACAAGACAAGCAAATGAACCAGCAGAGTGAATACTATTACAAAGTACAATTCCATAATGGATATTGCCTATTGTTCTAATCCTCATTGACCTTATCTAAATCTTATGCCCATTGTTGCTTAGTTGATCTATTGTATTCATTGATGCGAATGACGTTGACTGAAGACTATAAACTATACGCCATCTGTATAGTACCTTCCACCAAGGTCCAACAAGCAATTGGTAGTTTCTTTGGTCAGGATATACGATAGCAAGGGTATCCCCTAGATATCTCGCAGAAGCTGATCAAACACTGTTCATCCTCTGGAAATCATCTAGAATCTAGTGTTTCCCAATGGAGGAAATCCCGACCGCTGCATCAACAACACACACCATCAGCATTCAACATTCCATCGATCGGTCGCACTAACTCTGGGGGTGCGCACGGATGCAGAAGTGGAAGGGAAAGGTCTCCAGTTGTTGCCAAGTTGGAGAATTCCCATCTGCCTCAATGCTTGGATGTCAAAATTGCCGATAGATCCGTTCCTGAGGATCCTCGATGGGCTGTCTGACCCACCAGCACAAACCAGGACTGAACTATCAACGGAGTAATTTCACCCCAAAAGCCAATAGTTCCTGGCAGAAAGAAGTGATATCACCCCACGAACACGACAACTACCACCACTCGGAGTCTAACGCTTCAACTTCTCGGGGATAAACATTTATCTCCAGTGCGCTTTGTTTCTCCTGGAATCTTACGTTTTGACCTTCTTTTCTTTTCTTTTCTCTCTTTTTTTTTCCCCTCTCCCTCTCCCTCTATCGCTCTATAGTTGCTTTTGCATCTATTGTTTTTCCCTTTTCCTGTTTCTGGATAGCCCGCCCTTCATGTCCCAACAAGTCATTCCTTGATTTCTCTTTCCACGTTCATCTCCATAAATCTTCTCGGATGCAGGACGGCTACTAGTACTAGGCAACCGGCATGTACAGTATCCCCCAAAATCAGACTGGTTCCTTGTCGCCTTGAGAGTCTCCGTGCTTCAATCCAACCCCCTCCAATCCCAAGCCATGTGGAGACGAACGTACCTGCTGCTGCTGGTGATCCGGGTGTACTTCGCACTGTCTCCAAGTTATTTACACCCGGATGAGAATTTCCAAGGCCCCGAAGTCTTTGCAGGTGAGTCAATTCCGCTGAGTCGCACAGATTATTTTCTATCTTCGTTGCGATCTTGATCTTTTTATTCTCGGGCGGTGCGACCGCTTGTGACTGGAGATGGCGCTCTTCCGACGCATCCCGCGCATCGAAGCAGCCTTGTCCTCTCCACCGCAAACCCCAAATCTACGTGGGAACTGAATGCGCATTGCTCACAAATGTTTCCCTAGGTCGCATTTTCTCCTATCCTTCCCGCTTACCCTGGGAATTTACCTCCGATAAGCCAATACGCAGCGTCTTCCCACTATGGCCGACCTACGACGTACCGATGAACCTGCTGAAGGGATTCTATACAGAAAGCGGGACACTAAACCCTCCGCCAGAGCTGGTTTACTATGTGTTGCGAGGGGTCATGTTTCTCTTGAGCTTTGTGCTCGAGGATTGGGCCGTCTATGAGCTGGTTCCCCTACCGCGCCATCGCCGCGCAACGGTGGTCCTAGTCGCATCCTCGTATGTCACCTGGACATATCAGACGCACACCTTCTCCAACTCCATCGAGACCCTGTTGGTCGCCTGGGGCTTAGTCTTGATTCAGCGCATTGTTGATAACAAGGTAGGTTTATTAGTGCGGAATTCATATAATGCTAGCTCCTGGCTAATCACTGCTTATAGCGACGCTCGTCCATCTTCGCATGCGCCGTGCTATCTCTCATCGCCGTCGTGGGTGTTTTCAACCGCATCACTTTTCCGGCCTTCCTCCTCGTCCCAGGACTGCGGTTACTGGCTCATTTCTGGCGCAAGTACGTATTGCGCAGCTTTGGACCCTCTCTTTCCACCAAGTCTAACATTTCTAGGCCTTTCTCCTTGCTTTCATTCGCTGGGTTCGGTTTATTCTTCTTCTGCATCGCTGTCCTTGTCGATACAACGTTCTACAACCCTTCTGCCTCGCTTTGGGACGCTGTTCACGCACCTATCATCACGCCCCTCAATAATCTGCTCTATAATAGCGACAAGTCCAACCTAGCTCTCCATGGTCTTCACCCTCGGTACCATCACTTTCTAGTCAATCTGCCGCAACTCCTGGGGCCAGCGTATGTGGCGATAGTACTTTCTTTGAGCAAGTCGAAAGCAATTCAGTCTTCGCTAAAAAACATACGCGCCGTCTCTGCCATATCAGCAACCGCTATGCTTTCCTTGTTTCCGCACCAGGAACCCCGGTTCCTGCTTCCATGCGTCCCGCTCCTCCTTAGTTGCCTCCGCGTGCGCAAATCGCGTCTTTTCTTGGCGGCTTGGGTGATTTTCAATGCCGCTCTAGGGTTCCTCATGGGAGTGTACCATCAGGGTGGCGTAGTCCCTACTCAGCTTGCGATCCCCTCAATCGTCTCCGATAGCTTCTTCGAGGCTGGTGCCATCGACAATGCCCAGAAATCGGCTACAATACTCTGGTGGAAAACCTATTCCCCTCCATTGTGGTTGTTGGGAGAGAGCACCAGCACCCAGCTGGACATCGAAACGCGGGACTTGATGGGTATCTCCGGACCAGAAATGGCCAACGAGCTCGAGAAATTGGTGCCACAATGCCCAAACCCCGACGAAAGCAACAGCGTGGATCATCCCGAACGCTCGGTCTTTGTGGTCGCACCTAAATCCGCTACTTTCCTCGACCGGTATACACATCCCTCGCCCGACAATTCAGGTCTCACACTGCACGAGCTGTGGACTTGGCGCAAGCATCTCAATTTGGATGACCTGGACTT